TAATAAAAGGTCGTTGATAGATGATAGATAAATAGATTAGATAGATAGATGATAAATATATGATAGATGGATAGGTTTATAGCTAGATGATAGATGATTCATGGGTGACAGATAAATAGGTAGATGATATATTGATAGAGAAACAGACAGACAACAGACAAATAGTCTACACAATACCCTCCTCCTTATAGGACACTGCAGCACGATGTGTATCCTACCATCAGCATTACACATGCTCACTGGATGCTCTGAGATACAAAGGTTCTGACACAGACAAATGCATACCTCCAAGACCAAACTACTTAAAAATATTCCACATATTTATTTAGTGTGTATATGTGAGAGCTCATTCTGTTGTGTGCGCATGAATGTCCCTCTTTTATCATGTGGGACCTGGGAATTGAACTCGGGTTGTGAGGCATGGCAGCAAGGCCCTTTCCACTGACTCAGCTCTCAGGGCCATGCTCCATTGCCTCTTTTAGTGCTTTTTCTTATTATTTTCAGCCATAGCACAACTTTGGGGCTCTTACCCTTAGGGGAATTTCTAAGCACTTGTTTTCCTGGACTACAGCACCAACTGATAAGTTATAGTTAATGTTGACCTTTTTGAAGAATCCTGGGGAGCTCTACTGATTTTTTTAAGGGAATTGCTTTCTCATGCTGACAACAGACGGCTCATGTGTATATTAACCTCTTTTACTATTTTGGGGGAGTCAGTTGATAACTTCTCTTGTGCCACGTTTCATAGGACCATGGACATCCCTGAAAATAGATGCTCTTGCCAACAATGAGTAGATATTAAAAAGAGAACACAATTCTTTAGGTGGACCCTTAAAATTCAATAGAAGAGAAATAGTAACAACCCTAAAAATGAATGTTCATTCTCTCCTTAAGGAGACATTCAGAGCAGGCCTTATATTGGCCTACGATTTCCTACTTGCAGAGACCATTGTTACCTTGTATTTTTTTCCTACATACTTGGAGAAATATACTTGAAATCTTAGCCTCCCAGAGCAAACAGAGGAATGAGAGTCAACCCAATTTGAAAGTTATTGTTTAGCAAATGGAACAATTCAATGTAAAAAAATTTACATTTCTAAGCCTCAAGATTAAATTTTTTCTACATTACAAAAATATCTTTAAACAATAAATCTTTTTCTCTAGCCTGTCTAATATTCAGAAATAGTTTTAGAAAATAAAAGATCTGTAGTTTGTGTGTAGTTCAAAGTATTCTACAAACAACTGTGATGTTGGGAAAATCTCACCTCTCCTTTGTGAATTTTCATATCCTGTTTGTCTTGTGAGTGGTTTTTATGAGCCATGAAAGATCAGTATCCACTCATATCTTTGATTTTCCTTGCAATAAACTCACACAATAAAGTCTCTTATTGTGTTACATTGTTCCCTCATTGGCATAACTTACATGTGCTCCCAGGTTCAAAGCAGGTTTCTATGCCTGAAGGAAGAAGACTGCCCTGGTGAACAGCCTGTCCACAAGCCTCTCACATGAAACACAACAGGTGCCTTTGCTGTTTTTCTTTTTAACTTCTTCTATTATTTCGGATCTGGTTCCCTTTGCTCAGTTCAGCCAATGAAAATGTTGCTATTTTACTTTGAAGCATCTGCGTACTGGTGTCACTAGGAACATCCCATTGTATTGAAATTAATTTTCAGTATAAGCTCCTTCAGGAAAGAGTGATTAAATTTAATAGAAACCTTGATTTTTATTATAATTTCTGAGCTCTTCAAGTATTCCAAAGTACACTCTGGGAGGTGCTGGACTCATAGACGGATTTGAAAAACACACACCATGACTTAAATACCTTCATTAACTTATCTTGAAGTAACTTAGTGAACTTTGGCAACCTGATCATTTAATGGATACCACAGTCATAGAAAATTTCTTTCTAACAGTTCTAAAAAGTAGTATGAAGATAATTCAAGTGCATTTGTTATTTTAAATATAACTCAAGCATGGGATCCTACAGAACATGATGCTACAGGTAGAGCCAAAGTAATTGCAAATGGAATGTGCTTGAATCTAAATTTCATTATTAGACACACACATGTACTGTATACAAAATTCAAGGGAAATGACTAATGGTTTTTAGTAAAAATGACACATAAAAATTAATTATTTAGGTTGTATAGGTACATTTATGTCAATTGAAATATGTGAAAATTCAAATGTAATCTGCTGGTCATGGAGGAAAAATCTAAATGTCAAAGTATCTATTCATGTGAAACTCTTAAAAATATTTCTTTGAGCAATCAACATTCTCTGAATGTGTTAGCTGACAAGGTTATTTCTTGTTAGACTTGGCATTTGAATCTTTGTAGATGGAAACTCTGGGATGACAATAACTGTATGAGATGAGGGAAATGGATATGCATTGCCAGAGTTTGAAAGAGGCCAAGGAAGGCTTGATGCTTAGCTCAGTTTAACAACACCAGTAGACAGGACATCTTGAACTTTTATGTTCACAGAAGGAAGGTAGGGAGGGAGGGAGAGAGGGACACAGGGAGGGAAGGAGGGAGGAAAAGAGGGATGAAGGGAGGGAAGGTGGGAGGGAGGAAGGGAGGGAGGGAGGGAGAGAGGGACGGAGGGAGGGAGGAAGGAAGGAAGGGAGAGAGAAAGAAAGAAAGAAAGAAAGAAAGAAAGAAAGAAAGAAAGAAAGAAAGAAAGAAAGGGAGAAAGAAAGATAGAAAGGAAGGAAGGAGAGATGAAGGAAGGAAAGAGAGAGGAAGGAAAGAGAGAGGAAGGAAGGAAGGAAGGAAGGAAAGAAGGAAGGAAGGAAGGAAGGAAGGAAGGAAGGAAGGAAGGAAGGAAGGAACTTGTAAATTCTCTTCCTGGAAGCCTGTGGCCATTTTCTCAACAGGGATTGTCTTTGTCTAGCACTGGGGCTAGCCAGTTGGAGTACAGTCAGGAGCTCTAGCTCACTCTTTGCTCCAGGTTACAAAGCTACCTATTGTCATGAATATAGGTGAAGCCAATTAGAAAACCCGAATAGTCCATCCACAGTCCCCACAACTACCAGTTTTTAGTGTGTCTCTAGGACTTCAGGAAATACAAACTTAGACTCAGGTCCTATCTTAGGAAGTTGGCAAATCTGTTTTATATCAGTCAATAGGTAACCATTAATTTTGCAGCATTAATGTCTTCCAAAATTAATCTCAGCTGAGAGACATGAATGAAATTAGAACCTTATTCAAAGTATTAGAAACGCTTAAATAGAGTACTAACCCAGTCATCAGACAAAGATCAGAAATCTGTGTTTAAAAATGAAGAGAGTTGGGCTAGAGAAATGGCTCAGTGGACAGGAGCACTGACTGCTCTTCCAGAAGAAGAGCAAACACATGGTATCTGTAACCCCAGTCCTAGGGTGCTCCTACGCCTTCAACTGACATCCACGGGTATGCATGTGGTACATACACTTAAACAAATCTAAAAGATTTACAAAAATTATCAGAAGAGAGAGTGCCACCATGACTCCAGGATCCCAGTGAGTATGCATTTAATCAAACTCTATTCTAAACAGATGAACCTCTGAGCTACTTGCTTTAATCATCTAGCGGAGTTATTACTGGATGTCAGTAGCACGTCTGTTTTAAGCAATTGTTAACCAGGCTTGCTTGGGCATATGTACACATGTGAGTGCAGATACCTACAAGTCAGAAGAGGACATCAGAATTCCTGGAGCTGGAGTTACAGGCAGTTGTTCAGTGCTGGGAGCCATACTTAGTTTCTGTGGGCAACCAATGCCTACTCTTCACCGTAGAGCGATCTCCTTGACCTACTATCTAATTTTAAATATTAATTGTTAAAGTATTTTGTTTTTAGTCTGAAACCATCAGACATGCTCAGCAGAATTTAACAGCAAAGACAAAGGAATTCCTTATTACATATAGTCTCTATTGTTCACTTTGAAGTGAGACCCACAAAAGATTTATGCAGACAAAATTCCATGACTTTTCAGGTGAAACACACAGTCAATGTGGATTTGGGAAAGATGGAAAGTGAGAAACACAAGGACATAGCTTTTGCAGATTCCGTAAACTTGGTCTTTTTAATCATCAATACTGGCTAAATAGCTATTCAAGTTATATTTGAAATCATCTTTAATGTTAGGAGTATAAATATCTAGTCAATTTCTATACTAGAAAAGAGAAACATTAAAATTAATTTTACTGCATCAGAAAAAGTTCATGTATTCAAGAAAAGGCAAGCAATGGTTTCTTTTGAAAAGAAATTTTCCTTGCTATGCCATGTTTGGTTGTATCCCTGGGAGGTCTGCTCTTTTCTGAAGGAAAATGGAGCAGGAGTAGATCTGAGGGAGAGAGGACGTGGAGGGGAGGAGACTGGTAGTAGGAGAGGAAGGGGAAACTGCCATCAGGATGTAATAGGAGAGAGAAGAATAAATACATTTTCAAAATAAAAGCAGTTTTAATATTTAATTAAGCATCATTTGTCTAAAAAATCTATATAAAGAACACACTAGGTCATATAATCATGTAGATATTTTTAATTCAAAATGAATATACTGTTTAAGCACATTGTAAAATATGATATCCTAAGCAGGCAGAAGCAGGTAAACCACTCCATGGATTGCTTATTGAGTTCATATCATCATTTGGGATAGATTTAAGCCATATGTTTGTTAATGTGATGTGGGCTTATGAGGCCCACACACCTATAATACAGTCAAGGCAGTAAGTAAAGGATCAATTCAAATTCTAGAATTTGAGCAACAAACATGTTTCTATTAGATTAAGGGCCATTTGGATACCTTCCTTTATTATTAAACATTTCTACTACTATGGCCATACAGCAAAGCATTCTAAACATGATTGGCTCAATGCAACAACTATTTAATTCACTAATGAAATGGTAGTATAGGAGGCACTCAGCTGGCGCAGTATGACTGCTTCACAGGGTCAGTGTCCCCTTAAGTTCACTTGCCATGCACCTGGAAGTTGGATATACAACATCTTACCTTGAACTGAGTACACTCAATCTTCCCAGAAAGTCTGCCTGTGGGGTCTGTCCTGGGGTTCTTCAGCATGGAAGCATCTATAAACAGGAAGAATTCTATGTGGCTCAATGATTCCATGGAGACGCTTCTGAAAAAGAACCAAAGCGAAAGGTCTTGCATCAGAAGAAATCACCTGTAGAGTTGTAAATTAGTGTTTCTACACTACATTGGTCTGTGGAGTTAAGAAGATAGCTAGATATAGTTCTCCGTAAAGGAATGCTGTGTTGCAAAGATGTGCAGGATGGGTTGCTGGATTGGCAATAATTAAAAAATACAGCCTCCATCGAGAATAATAAAACCCACCGATAAGACCCATTGGCTTTAGCATTAAAGTAACACATTTTTTACCTGGGTTCAATGTTTCAACGGCTTGGTCCTGAAGTGTTATGGAGTGATAAAGAATTAAATGCTTGCTTACTTTCCTGTGATGTGACTACTACATTTAGAAAAGTGAGGAGGCCAATAGAATGTGAGAAATTGTTAATAACCAAGACATGTTTTTATTGTAATTAAAGGCAGTTTAATTATGTGTGTGTTAGGATTTAAGATACTCTGGAAGAAATCCATCCATTCTAAGGGAAATGACTAGACCATGCCTGCACATTAGGGCACCCACATTTCACTACACAATAAAAATCTATTGATGCAATATTGGGGTTATTGTAAAATGAAAAAAGAACTTTTTGTCTGTTTATACATGTGATGCAGTTTCTATTGTCAGTATTAACTTCACCCAATGTCAATTTCACCCATTCCCTGGGATAGGAATCTCAATGATTTGTTTACATTAAATTAAGGTGTAGGCATGCCTGTGAAGGATTATTTCTAATGGGTTAATTGAGGGGGGAATGCCAACCTGGAGTGTGTGCAGCACCATCTCATAGTGGGAGCCAGGCTGAAGGAAAAGGAGAGAGCAACCTGGTTGAGTACAGCATACATGTATCTACTATTCTCTTCTGATTATAGATACAGTGTAACAAACTCTCCATGTCCTATTGCTGTAATTCCTCACTATGGTGGACTATAATCTGGAATCATGAACTAAAATAAATTCCATCTTCTTCTAAACCTATTATAACACAGAATAGGAAACTACTTATACAAATAATTGTGTTCAGATCCATGCTTCATGACCATCATTTCTCAATGCTCCCCATACTCTTCTCTATATCACATTATATTTCATACTTCTTGTTTCATTAGTAGCTTATCCAGTGTTCAACTTTGCTTCCTATCTTTGTGATAAAAAACAATGACCACAAGCAACTTGGAGAGGAAGGGTTTATTTCAGCTTTCAGTTTATAGTTCCTTATGAAGGAATATCAAGGCAGGAACTCAAGGCAGGAATCTGTAGACAGGAACTGACGCAGAAACCATGGAGGAACATTGTTTACTGTTTTGTTCATCACGGTTTGCTTTCTTATATTAGCCAGGACCACCTGCTCAGGAATGGCACTGCCACAGTGACCTGGACCTTCGACATCAACCAATTTTTAGTCAAGAAAATGTACTAGACTTGTCTACAGCTCAGTCCAATAGAAGCCATCTCTCAATTTCCAATCCCTCTTCCAAGATGTCTGTAGATTGTGTCAACTAGAGAAAAGTATTAACCAACACATTTTATTTTCTTCTACTTCATGAATGCAGGAGTTTCTTCCCTAGGTTTTTCTCATGTTGTTTTCACAGCTAGTCAGTGATTTCAATCTGTTTTATTTATTTTGTCTCAGGCACTAAGGATTTCATCACCCTCAACAAGACATCCCCTGAGAATTCCAGCCTCAGCATATTGTATTTCCCAGGGGTGGCCTCAATCCTCTGGGTAACCTGCGACTCAAACTATGCCTGCACAGCCTAAGGCTCAAGTCCTCCTCTATCGGAAAATAAAACACACATACAGTTTGTTACCCTTCCCTCACTATTTTAGATAGGAAGTTTTCCCACCACGCTGCACTGAGATTTCTATGACTGAATTCATTCCTGAGTTTTTCACTCTGCCTTTATCATTGTTATTCAGCCTCTTCGACAGGACCATAGCTACTCTCTGCCATGCTGTGCCTTTATCTGTGTTCTGACTTCAAGGCCTCCAATTCTCACAGAAGCTTTTGAAATGTTGTTTGTGTTGTTGATTGGTTTTCCCTCTCCTGTTGTGACAAATCCTGACCAGACTTATCTTCCTTAATCCCAGACATGAAATGCTATCAAACAATGTTAAAAATTTAAGGACCACAGAACTTCAAATGAATTCCTGCCTCCAATAGATTTTGATCTCAGTACCACAACCTGGAAACTGAAACACATGACCCCCCCCCATGTCTTCAAAACACACTCCCACCCTCCTATGTCTTCAAAACACATGCCTACCACCCCCTGTGTCTTCAAAACACATGCCTACCTCCCTGTGTCTAGGAGTTCAGCTGGGATGAATCTCTAAGTCATACTCTCAACTATGTGACACATGTTTATATGTCTGAATGCTTTTATTTCAAGTATAATAAATATGAGATAACAACACAAGAGCCAAGATCTGGGATACTTTTGAGAGACATGATAGAGAAAGCCTAACCTACTTTGACCTCACTGTGTGCACTGGGAAGATGCTATCAGTAGGGCCATGGGAAGAAAAGGACAAACTTGATTTTCAAAGGTAGAAGTATGGTCCTTACATGTGGGAAACAAGGTCAGTAGGAGAGTCTCCTGAAGTTATTGGCTTGTAAGTTAATTTGATTATTTAAATGAAGAAACTTCCAAGCAGCTTATTGAAAACACCATCCTTACTGCTTCCTGCTGCTTTTGATGCAGCGCGAGAGATTGACAAGGCAAGAATGATGGATGCAAAAGCCAACACTTGAAAATCCTCAGCCTCCCCCCCAGCATGGCAAAGGCTGTTAAAATCTAGAAATTGCTTTTGAAGTTATGTCATAGAAGAAAGGGGAGAGGTGTACAACCTTTTGCTCAAATTTCAGAAAGATCAGAAGGTCATAATATTGCTCTGTATCAAGGGCCTCTCCCAGAGATTAAGTGGCTGCTTCACAGATCCTGTCAATCATCAGTAAATCTTAGGATTCTCTAAGGGCCATGCTTCTTTGCCACGGCAAGAAATGATTTAGAGGAAGGACTGTGGATGTAGTCTTTGTATACCTCAGCAATGCTGAGGCCCCTTGAAGACACCCAACACCCACAGCAAAATCATTTATGCAAACACTCCAAAAGGGGACTACAAATAACTGAGAATTTTTATGATTGTTTGTTTGTTTTTGTGGCACTAAGTTGATTTGGGTAAGAGACTGATGTTGTGGAATAAAATATTTGTTTAACTATGTAAAGATATGCTGTATTTGTTTAACTGTATGTAAAGATGTATCACTGTTTCACCTTGCCTGCCTGATGCATCTGATTGACCTAATAAAAAGTTTAATGGACAATAACTAGGCAGAGAAGGGATAGGCAGGCTCACAGGCAGAGAGAAAAGGAGAGTCAGCCAGCTAGTGGGGGACCAGCCCATCATGGGCCATCCCACCAGGGTACCCCATCTAGACATGTAGGAAGCAGGAAACTAGGACATACAGAATAAAAGAAAGGTAAAAAGCCTTGAGGCAACAATAGATGAAAAGAAAGGAACAGATTAGATTAAGTTATAAGACCTAGTGGGAGAAGCATAAGATAAAGCCAAGAATTCATAATTAATAATTAGTTTCTATGTTATGATTTGGAAGCTAGTGCTCCAAGAAAACCTGCTTCAGACTGACAAACTCACACAGTGCCAATCACATGCAAATCAAACTCTGTCTTACTGTGACCTGGTGTAGCTATTTATTTTACAGATAATTAAGCAGTTTTCTTTTCTACTTTTTTTACTTCACTGAAGGAATTCTCTGGAAGGACTAGTCAGAGAGTGCTTCAACTGGCTTCTTATTTACAAAGATCTTCGGAACCTTTTAGATATATCAACAGCATTGCAAATGGATTGGGGAATGATGATTTCTCTGCTTTCTCAAGTATTAGAGAGTACAGGAAAATGAAAGTATAGGCAGGCTGTCATTGTGACAGGTCCTCAGCATAACACAGGCTCTGTGGAAAGCCTGATTTATCTAGGATATTTGCTAAAAGGATGTTTAGTCTATAGAAATTTCTTGAAAGCAAGATACCCTAAAAACTAAGCACAGCCACCATGCAACTGAGTGGTGTTGTTGCCAAAACCATTGTTCTTGGGGCCATTTTGTGTGTTATGTGTGGAACTGCATAGGGTTATCTCCACAGCTTGACCTCAGGGGTCACTCGGCTTCTTCACCATGGAAACTAGTATTAGTCACATTATGGCACACCTTTTTAGACTGTTGGTCTATTGGAGTCCTTAATCATTTTCTTTATTACTGCATTATGTCTACATACTAGTATGATTAGTTAAAAGACAAATGATGTCATCCCTACATGTGGATTTGCATGGGTTCTTGGACACTGCAGACACTACTCATCAGTCTGTGGGGTCTCACAGGCTGGTAACTGTTTAGACTGCCGTTTTAGGTACTCACCCTTGGCTAAAGATACTCGGAGTTCGTTGCTTGCTTGGCTCTTTTTATCTCCTCCAAACCATCAAATTACTGCCCCCAAATGGTCATGTGACATACTAATCTCTGACTGAAACTCAGAATTTCCTGTTTCTGGTCCCTGAAACACAGTCTCGTGTCCTCACTTATTTCTTTCCCCACTCCTTCCCTTCTCTTCTGCTCTTCTAACTTCCTTCCTTCCTTCTCTTCTCCCTCCATGTTAAGAATTAACTCCTATTCACTGATCAGGGAATGTCTTCTACTTCAATCCTAGTGTGGGTGTCTACCCATAGATCCCTCTCAATGAACAGCTCTCTTTCCCTTCCTCAGTGACCATCCTCACTCCTACTGTCATCTCTTAGAATGCCATTTCTACTGACCCAAGGCCTTTTTTTTTCATTTATCATTAACTTAAGGACACTGCAAGTAGAATATATATATATATATATATGAATCAATTAATAAAAATAAGTAAATGAATGAACGAATTTATTAGCAGATTTTTGTTTATGTTTGTTTTTGTTAATATAATTGCATTAACGTA